AAGCATGACTGTTAGTTCACACACAGCATTGAATCATCATAGTAAAATACACCTCCTTTAACATATGAATCACTTTTTCTCTGTCCCTTGACAAGCACACATCTCAGTGAACACCCTAAACATGGTGAGTTCGGCCCAGAGAGGGATGGGGTGGGTTGGGCATTCAAGATGGAGCAAGGGTCTAGGTGGTATTTTAAGGGGATCACTGCAGGTGATTAGGGACAATATTGTAAATTCTGCCATAATTTTCCACAGGTGGGGGTCAGTGAAGGCGATCTCTTACTCCTGAAGGTAAGCAAGGATGCAAAGGTGAAGCATTCAGCTTCAGACACAGTCCCTATGCTGCTTGCCTGTGTGCTGCTTTAGTCCCTGCACAAGTGATTGCCAATTGGCGCAGGAAAGTTTCCTACAATGGGGGAAGGAGCAAAGCAGCTCTGCCAAGGAATCTTCGACAGAGAATTGGCAAGTACCTCCAGGAAAGTTTCCTAGAGATCTCTCTAGAGGATTCCTGTGAAATCTCAGTGTGCATTAACAAAATGTTCCACTGCACCGCTTAGCTGCACAGGGTAATGTGAAGCACATGCAAACACAGCTAATCTTGTACATTTCTATCCTTTCACTCACTTCTAGAATATACAGAGCAAAGGACAGCTCTACCTCATATAACCGAGCATCATTAACTCAAAAAGATCACTTACCAGAGATCTCCTCGCCCGCATCATGCACGCTAGAGAGGGACTGCTGGGACTGGCTAGACCCCTCTGGAGTGGAAAAGAGGTCCTGACTCGCCATACCATCGGATGACCCTGTTGTGGGCTCCACATTGTCCTCCAACTCGACCCCCTCGCCCATGACTTCATCCTTGGGGTGAATCTGCTGTCTGCCACCACCTCCAGCCCCGCCCAAGTATCCATGGGGCTCTTGGCGGTGCAGGTGTGATCACCGTCAAGGTTGGCATCCAGCTTCTTCTAGAAGTGGCAGGTCTTTGGCACAGCACAGAGCGACAGTTTGCCTCCCTTGCCTTCTGGTATGCCTGCCTCAGCTCCTTTATCTTTGCACGGCACTGATGCATGTCCCGCATAGCCCTTATCACACAAGCCACAAGAAATCTGACCATAAGTATCAAAATTTCTATGGCTGGAGCAGAGCTGGGACTGCACAGCCTCTTCTCCCCACCGTGCCAGCATATCCAACAACCCAGGTGTGCTCCAAGCGGGAAAGCGTTTGCTGCATGGAGCCGCCATGGTCAATTGGGAAGATGCGATGTGAGCTGTCCAAACCGAGCAAACAGGAAGTGGCACTTCAAAAATTCCCGGGTCTTAAAAGGGGGAAGGACAGATGCCTGTGTACCTGGGTGCAGGGCAGCAGAGTTTGAACTGCTGACCAGAGCAATCAGGATGGGCATTGTGGGACACCTCCTGGAGGCCAATTATAGCAACATAACCAAGCGCAGTGTCTACACTGACTTTTGTTGATATAACTTTGCCAAAAAAAAGTTCTATGCTTTATTTTGTCAACAAAGCAGATGAATGTTGTGGGCAAAAGGAGCATTGTACACCTTCACTGTGTTGTTGATGAAAGCTGACTTTTGTTAACAAAACTGTGTAGTGTAGACAGGGCCTTAGGTTGGCTTAATTATGCCACTCAGGAGTGTGAATTTAATTGATCTAATTTTCTAGTGTAGATCAGGCCTCAATGTAAAAAAAGCTCTACGCTTCAGCCCTACAGCATGCAACAAAAAAAGACGGAAGGTGACAAGATGAAAACAATTAGGTGATAAAGAAAAGGGAAGAAAGGACCTTTTACAAGCATTAAAAAAATGAAGCTTCACAACACTTCTGTAAAACCATGAAAATTCTTTCCTGATTCAAAGATTGGGATATTGAAACACAGTGTTTTAAAGGAGTCATCTTTCAAATGTGCCCAAATTCCAGGAGTCCAAAGGGGGGTGAGAAAGTGAAAGACGGGTATTTCTCCAGCAGATATTTGCTAGTTAACAGCATACGTCAAATCATCAAGCGGTCGTCTGCGCCATAATTTTTCCTTTGGGAAATAGCACATCACATTCCTTTCGATTTCTCTTAGGGAAATAGGGAAATACAGCCTCTTTCCTACCAAATATACTTAGTAGTAGCCAGCACCCCACAGATTATCATAGCTCAAATTAGTTTAGTTCTGAATTTCTTTACAGCCACACATTCAAAGGTTTCCCTTGATCATAATCTCCTCTTTGGTCCACTACTGCAGGAAGGATTTAGGTCTGAATATAGAATATCAGGTCGCTATATATTAGGTCTGAATATAGAAAAGAGATCTTTGATTCTAAGTCCTATGAACGTGGGATCAGTTTGCTTGCAGATGCATCTTCAGATGACAGAGGTGCCATAGATCAAGATAACATGTTGCTACAAGAGATCAAAGCCATTTCCATTCTCCAAAATCCCATGCAACTTTAAGACTTGGGATTAGATTTAAATCCAAGTCCTTGATATTTTCTTTAAATTTCATAAATATTCCTAGAAAAAAAACAGACCACGTGACCTAAACTGGTGGATGGACAATTTATCAACAGAAAGGCAGTGGATGACATTTCTCTGTATGCTGCAAATTACAACTGGGATTTTCAAAGGAGCCCAGGGGAGTTAAGCACCTAACTCCCCTAACTTTCAATGGAAGTTAGGTGCTTAACTCTTAGTCACCTTTTAAGATCCCAAGCTAAAGCTGTTGAGGAAAAGGCTGAAGTTGTCACTAAAATCAACTAAGAAACATATTTCTTACATCTAAATCTCTTGTTTCATATGAGAATCACCCTGGGAATTGACTGGAAATGCAGCTTTCTTCTCATCATCTCCAATCTCACAGAAGTATTGCTTTAAAATTATGTTCCTAGCTATAAAAGATAGAAATGCAACTGTATGGAGAAAACCCTCCAATCTTCAAAGCCTTTTTAAAAAGACAGTATTATTTTTTCTACCTGCCTAAGGTACTTAAATGACCCCCATTATTGTAGTATCTGAGTGCTTCAATGCTTTTTGAACATCTTTTCATTTTATCATAATGAACATACATGAAGTTTCCATACAAGTTTTAACACATCTTATTCATAGCCTGTATTCGTTAGCATTTATCCTCACAACATCCCTGTGAGCTAGAGCAGTGGTGTTATCCCTATTTTACAGATGGGGAACTGAGGCACAGAAAGACTAAGTGACTTGTCCAAGGAAGTCTGTGACAGAGCAGGGAGTCCCAGGCTAGGCCCATAACCACTGGATCACCTTTCCTCCCTAACCCTGTTTCAGTCTAACAGGTTCTATTACACTAAGATTTTCTGTGACAACTCTTCCCAATTCTCATGCCAATCTTTAGTGGCTAGCCTTACCTCTGATTCTTACATTGTTGTCCTAAAAATGAAAAATGTTGGGAAAAGAACCATAAATGGTTACTTGTCTTCTTTGTTCTACCAACTTTTCTACAGAAATGTGCTCTTCTTGTTTCTCATCCACTTAACACACACAGTGAAACCGTTCATGATTAGAACAAATTATTCAGTAACAGTAGAATGAATTTTAAAATGTGATTCCTTCTTATAAAAACTCTTTTCACACATCTTGAATCTGAAAGGAGTAAGATAATACAACCCAAATTGTTTTACAGCAAAACTTCAGATTTCAGATATCTTATAAGAGACCCCATAGCATATCACAGATATTAAACAATAATATTCCTCTTTCATTTCACATACCTTGGCAAAGAAGGAAATGGGTATCTAATGACAGAGAAAAGCTAGGGGGGCTCTCTATCTATAGGTTCACATAAGTAGGTAGGTAAGCAGCAAACAAAGTATTTGGAAGAGCCTAATAATATACAATGTCAAAAACAGAAAGTTTACAGCCCAAAGCAAATGCTACAGGTAAGCCTAGAGTTTGAATCCCTTGGAAACAATAAAGAAACTTTTATTGCATTTCCTACTTTAAAACAGTATTTTTGTTCTTCAGGGCTCCATTCTATAACCGTGAGGTAAGGTGTTGATGCAAAGTTGAATATAAATTCCTATGAAATTCAATTAATACAGCTACCAACATTATTGAGACTACCAATAATGTAAGTAAAAGGTCTAGATGAAGTCCAATATTCTTCAAAAGTACATAGAGAACTGAACATATCCAGATCTCTCACTGCCTGAGAATTTAAATGCAATTGGTTTTAATGGAATTTGTTTAGATTTGGTCTTCAACCATTATCAGAATTAGAGCAGGAATGATAAAGAAACAAATTATGGCATGTAAATGTCAGTCAAGAAGAGTTTCCAGAGCTACTGTGTGCACAAATAGTTGTGAACTACTGTAAATGAGCAATAATAATTTCTCAAAGAGACAACAAAAAAATATATGATTGAGGTTAAGATTTTGTCAAGGTTATTTTTAGTAAAAGTCACAGACAGGTCACGGGCAATAAACAAAAATTCACGGGAGCCATGACCTGTCCGTGACTTTTACTAAAAATAACCAGGGGTCGGAGGAGCAATAACAACTGGAGCCCCATGGGGGGAGGGGGGGAGGGGCAGGGGGAAGAGATTGCCCAAGCCCCACCACTACAGGAGAGGGATGGGACACAGCCCCTGCTCTAGGCTCAAGGGGAGGGAGAGCGCACACTCCAACCGCAGCTGCGGTGGAGGGGCACACAGCTCCAGCCCAAGCTGTAGCCATGGGGTGCACAGTGCCATACGGGGTGGGGGGGCAGGCACACAGCCCTGACTCGGCCCTGGACGCTGACAGCTGAAGCCAAAGAAGTCATGGAGGTCCAATAAAGTCATGGAATCTGTGACTAAACCATATCCTTCGGTATGATACAGTGAAAACATGTCACTATTTCATCTGCATCAGCTGTTTACATATCAAAATCCTAAAATCTGCATAAGATCAGTTGGTTCTTAAGTCCCAGCTGCTTAACAGCAGCAAAATTTGGGAATATAGATTAAGCGTTATTACTGGTGGTTTTACCATTGTTGCCTGGTGGCTGTAGTGCATCTCCTGTTAAGCCACACCATCCGACTGGGAAGATATCTCGAGAATCATATTTGCACCAATAGTCAAATGCTCCCCGCCAGCCATCAAATGTAATGAAAACTTCATCTCCTCTAACATCTCCGATGGTCGCTGGGCAAATTAAATAAGGGTTCTTTTTGTCTACTGCTTCAAGTTTCATTCCAACTTTAAAATAGTCTGGAGCAGGTTTTGGTGGTTCCTGTCAAAATAAAATTGTAGAACACCTAGGTTTCCATGAATTCTTGAAAAACAGCTACTTTTCTCTAACATTCTAACTTCTCATACTGACTACCCCAAAAAGGTTATACAATACACATTTAATACATGTTACAAGTTTATTTTAAATTTTCTAGATTACCTAGGCTCAATTCTGCTGCTACTTATGTGACTGGGAGCAAGGTTATGCCGAGTCTACTTAAGCAGTTGACTGAGAAAATCTGATGTGTTCTACAGGAACGGTGGGATAGTGAACGTACACTAAAAATAAATGGCATAGTTTTATGTAGGGAGAGGACAGGATCAGAAAAATGTACTTCTACGAAGGACTGGATGTTTCTGGGGATTGATAATGGACTGGGGAACCTTTCAGCTCTTTATTACTTATCCAAATGCACATGCAAATAAATCATTAACATCTGAAGGCTGTTTAGTGGCCTGTGTGAAATAAGTTGGTCTCGGACAAACAAAACAAAAATCAGCAACACAACGGTCCACAATGTAACTCTTGTCAGTCTCAGCAGAAAGGCCAAAGGACTGAAGGGAAACCAAATTATATCTCACCCTCAAGAGGTAGATCCTCCAGAAGAGGGCTGAGGCATATTGCTGGGACAGTATCGAGAAGCTTGCAGTGCCACTGCTCATACCATAGCTATTTTATGAATGCATTCAAATCAGTATGTTCTCAAAATGAATGGGGATTCACGAGCAAAGAGCTTACAGGATCAAGCCCAATGTACGTTTTACTAAAACAAACTCATGCAAAGCCATTATCAGTACTAAGAAAGAAATTGCTGAACTTCACACTTTGATTTTAGCAAGCTCATAAGAATGGTAAGAGGACAAATCAAATCAACAGATCAGCTGAGTCATACTTGCATCCCTACATATTTTTTGCATAAAAACATTTCACACATTTTTTTTTAAGATCCTCTTTTCTTCAGCATAAAGGCTGTACTTCTAAAACTGATGGCATTTTTTTATTACTTTCAGCTAAGTCCCCACTACATTCTTAACAGCTCAACTGTGAAGTATGCGCCAAATAAAAATATTCAGCATAGACTCCCCATGCGTTCCTGTGGCTCTCATTCTCCTTTACCAGTTTTAGGCCAACACATACACAGGCACATCATGAATATGTTACTGTCAACAAACGAGAGATGCATGACATCTTAAATCCATGAAAAAAAACAAGCTAACACAATTTTTTCTAAATAATACAGCATACCTTAAAGGTCCAAACACAGGAAAAGAGGTGCCCATCCATTTGGACTAGAAGATGATCATTTCCTGTCCAGTTTTGTGGCTTGCCAATCCACTTCAAAGTAATTTTAAATAACATTGTTGCCTTTCCATGCTGAAGAGAACAGTACAATATCCTGGCATCCTCAATAAAAATGTAATCATGGACCAGTTGATGGAAGCTTGTTTACTAGGAGCCCCTTTCTTCTTACCTTCTTAAAGAATGCTGCAGGTGCCATTTCAGCTCCATTTAGTGTTCTTAACAGAAACATTGGCCAAGATGATGCATTCATCTGGAAACCTAATTAACATAAATAGATTAGTTGTGTAAAAGATCCTAGACTCACATTTATAAAATATTAATATACAGGAAGAAGAAGGATGCAGAATTTACCCCACTACTGTCTAAAACTCTCTGGTTTGGACTTGGCTAGAAATAAATGTGGCCAAGACACATGAATGCATAGAGCAGCTGTTTACAGCAGTAAACATGTTGGACAGTATATTTCCTTTCAGGAGTGATTTGCCTGCAAAATCATTTATCATGGTTACTATATTAAGTGTGACTAGAGACATGCAAGCTGTAGTACTGCAGATTAAATCAATCTCTATATTCCCTGGTCCCAAACCATCTTCCTTGCATAGTACCAAGTTATATTTACTGGGCCAGTTTTCTTTCATTCTCAAATGACATCCTCTGGTCTAGCTTCTCTGTCCTCTAACTCTTATTTTTTATTAGACACATTTTCTTCTCCATTGAGGCTCTTTCACAAGATTCCTTCACAAAAAGAAACAAGGAAGTGCAAACAAATTTCAATGAAACAATACATCCTTTAATTACAAAGACAAGAGCACAAAACAGGGAATGGTAGAAATGAAACATCTTGGTAAGTGTATGCATCACATTGCAATTGCATAAAGTGGAGAATGTTTCCATGCCAGTATTCTTCATTAAAAAAATAAGTGAATACAATGCACAAAGAGTTACTATAACCCAAACCTGCTTTTATTAAAAACAACTTTATCTTATCAAAACAATTGTTTGGTGGAAATATTCTTCATTTCATGGCATTCTCCCTCAGAACCAAGTACCTCCCAGTAAAGGAAGAGACATGCTTATATCTCTCTCTGCTTTCAAAGCACCTTCAGGGCTGTATTTGAAGCTACTAGACCGATTCAAATAGACAACAGGTATTTTGGGCCAGATCTTTAGCAGGTGAAAGTCTGTTGTAGTTCTCTCCAAAAAAACCTAACACAACAAAACAGGAATCTAATAGGAAACTTCTCTCTAAAGCAACTACTACTAGAATCCTTGTCTGGACTTGAAGAATTGCCTTACAATCTAGATATGATTTTAAAAAAACTAATAGTAGATATGGAAAAGTTTACATGACTTTTGATTACTTACTATTTAAACCTTAATTCCTGTCCTGGGTATTGGCTCCCTGACACAGTGGCCTTAAGTTGTACTTAACTGAGCAGACAGATTTAAAAGTTGTTTAAAGTCCACAACTCCTTAAATTGCATTTTAAAACTGGATACAAGAGATCTTATATATGTGAGAAATTGTCATGTTTAAATGTTCACAACTGAGAAACTACTGAGCTGATTTTTAAACTTGGATTGATTTCTAAGTCTTAACATGATTTATAAAACATGCCATTCTGGAAGTTTCTAGATTCTCCTTTTGAATTAGCTGAGAATTAGCTTTCTCACTGGAAAGCACAGAGTACGTGATTGCACATGCCAATAACAGGAAGGGTGGTGACACTACTCAGTTAAGTAGCTCAACTGATTTCACGTAAGCTTTCTTTAAAAAAATCACTTCTAATTAGAGCATGGAAAATGTTATCCCCAAAGGAATTTGTTTGAAAACATTATAAAGTACTTAAAAAAAAAAGTGGTTTCAAATGGAAGTTGGAATTTGAAACCTTAACTAGACACTGAACACTACTGAGCCCAATGTAATATGTGAAACTATGATATGTTTAGAGTTCAGGTGGGAGGGACTATTTTAACTCATTTGTTACTGTGAGAGAAATCAAATGTTGGGACCAGAAGGCTCCATTCCACTTGGGAAAATCAGTTGTGTAAGTGTCTAGCAGGAGGCAATTATACACCCAATTAGCTCCCAGCTTTACCCAGGAACAGGATGCTGCAAAAGTGCCAAGAAGGCTTTTTCAAAAATGTATCTATATATATGCCAGGATGTTTGAATTTTGGAACCTAGCTATCACTAAAGAATCAAGGACTAGAGGGACAATGTGTGACTATTTCTTTTCTGAATAAACTATGCAATAGAATGGCTGACGATCATTATGAGGGGAGCCAAACTTGCATTCCTGGATAGTACAAAAACATTTGCTTATTAGGTATAACATTTCAACTAATTTCAATGAACAGAAATGGCAACCAGAACACAAGGACATCACTAGCCACAGACTGGTGTATACACATTTTTTGTACCACTGTGTTAGTTTAGGAATAGATACAGTTAAAGACGTGCAACTAGCTAGTGTAAATGTAGTTATACCAATATAAAAGTGCTAATATCAGTATAGCCTATTTTGATACCAACCAAGGCACCTTTATACTAGTAATAATTGCATCCACTTTAGGGGGTTATACTGCTTTCACTATATCTGGTCCTAAAGCAATATAGTTACAGTGGCACAAGCACTGTATTTTGAAACACTTTAAATAGATTACAGACCCACACAGAGCAAATTGCTGCTCCATGTTGGTTATCTCCCTCTCACAAAATTTGTAAGGTTCAGTTTTGGAGTACAATGGAGTGACATTTTAATAATACTTCATCTTTCCACCAGCGGATCTCAAAACAATTATTAACTGAGCCTTGCAACATAATATTACTTAGTAGCTGAGGGCCAGCAGTAGTGGAGACCCAATTTGTACTTGATATAAGATCAGTCTGTCCAAAAGTTCTCTGATGCCATTAGGTACTTGCATTTTTCCTGCATCTGGGAGTGTAAGTGAACTACAATACCGCCATGACCACCTACCCTCTCTTTCGCTTCTCCAGGAATACAACCAATTTTCCTCAGCACAATGCACAAACATCCAGATGGCTCTCTAGTGATTAACTCTGGACTTACTGTACTGAGTATTTCACTGTTGGATTAAGAGTGGGCTCCTCCTGGTGGTCTAGTGGAATATCACAGGTAGAAATAGATAGGGAGTCTCATTCTATATTTCTTAACTTTAGCTGAACAGTTACTTCAAGGATCCCAAGCACTTGTTTATCCATCTGCCAATGATATAGTAACAGAACAAAAATCTCTTTCAAAATATCCACCCAGTAGTCAGAAGCCCATAGATGAAGCATTTCCCAAATATTAATGTGAAAATATTGGAATACACAAAGTCCTGTAGACCAGGGTCAAGTTTACCAGGAATGTTTGGGGGGGGGGGGGGCTACTGGACATTTTTCTTCTTTTTTCTGTAAGTTACGCTGATCAGAGATAGAAAAGACCTACTGTGTTACACGGGAAAATACTGTGTGGTTAACTGTTGATAAACGCAGACCACTATAAAGTGGTTGCTTAGTAATCATACTTGACAATAAACCTAAGTGCAAGTGAGAATATCTTCCTGTTTCTTTCTATTTTGACCAAAGAAGTATTAATATTTATATTCCCTTTATTATACTTAGGGAATATATGTTAATGTGGTATCAAAAGTTTTCTCAGCATAAATTTAAGATAGTTGTATTCCCATGAGCGAATTCAGTATTGAATTATGAAGGTTACTCCTAACAAGTTCTGATAAAAACTTTATACCATATTCTCATATGTGCCACATTTAACTAGAATAGCTGTTTTAGGAGGTATAATTTTTAGGCAAAATTATGCATTTGTGTTGTTGGGGAAAAGGAAAGAAAATGTTCTCTGACTGGTTTATAAAATGGCAGCTCTTTAAATGTGCTTAGGGTCTTGGAAAGTCAGAATACAATCTCATCCAACTATATTCAACAGGCAACCTTATAGAGTAAAATACTTACTACACCACACTAAGTATACTTCACCAAAGCATACATGATACATTATAAGTATAGGAAATGCCACAGTAAAGTCAATACCACAGTACAGAAAATGTTTACTTTTTAAAGTGTAGTTATGGTTTAAAACAGGGTGGGTAACGTTTTTTAAAAATCATTTTGTATTTATATTAAACACTTAAAAAAAATAAAGCTATTTAGAATTATATTTGAAATTGATAACCTATATTAAAGCCTAAAATTATAATCTATTAAAGTTATTTAATTTAAATATAAAAAATAACTTTAAGCAGTACATGCCTGCTGCCAAGTTTTAAAGAAAGTCACACCACTGAACTGGTAGAAAATACTAGCTAAGCACCTGGAACCAGAGTCTGTTGAGTGCTAAACCAGTATTTGATAGAAGTAGAGTAGATTCCCGCAATTCTACCAGAACTTGATGGGACCCGACAACAAGTATCAGGTTTGGGTTGGGTCAGAAAACAATCTGAACCTCTGAGGCTCAGGTCAGGTCACCTCTGAAGTCTCTCTCTTGCCCAGGAGGTTGGCATAGTGGTGGCTGCGTGCCCAGTTCCTGCCGGCCACCCAGTCTGCCTCGTTGAATAGCATGCACTGCCAAGTGAGTGTGCTGCACCTCTCACTCCACAGAACACACACAGTGCAGCAGGGGGTGGCAGCCAACGGGATTGGGACAAGCAGCTGCCACCACCACACAGTGCAGCAGGAGGTGGCAGTGGCGCCACTAACTCAGGTTTGGAGGGAACGGTCAGGGTCAGGTTGGAAAATGACAACACTCTTGGGCTCAGATTGGGTGGATTTGGGTCTGGTTTGGGTCTGGGCCTGGGAAGACCTCTAATACAAAAAGAGTGACCTAGATTCACACATCACCACCATCATTATCGTTAAGTGAGCTCTGAATGCAGATCCTGGTAGCAATGTATGATTCACAAAGAACACAGCTTCGCTGTCAGCAGCAAGGCTGAGTGAGCCTTAAGGGGAAATATTTTTCCTCATAAAACTAGCAAGTGTGATTTGAAAATGACATTGTCAACTCAAGTTTAGTATTTTTAAGTAAAGCCTAAGAAGTCTCTCTTTTTTAGTTTTTTTGTTTTGCCTGAAGTGGTTTTGTGTCACAAATACTTCCACAAAAATACAAGCCTAAGGATGGGCTTATGCACAAACAGAATAGACAATGAGCGCTCTCCTCTGCTGCTGAGAGAAACTGCTCCTGCTATTAATCACCATCCACAGGAAGTGAACAGGAACCACTGTTTTGCTTTCTCTTATATTACACAATAGGCCATGACTACACTAGAAGCATTTTGCTGGAAAAGATATATTGATATACTATACCAGTAGAGCGCTCTGAGTGTGGACACAGCTTATATTGGCCAGCAAAACTGCACTACAGTAGAACCTCAGAGTTATGAACACCTCGGGAATGGAGGTTGTTCATAACTCTGAAATGTTTGTAACTCTGAACAAAACATTATGGTTATTCTTTCAAAAGTTTACAACTGAACAATGACTTAATACAGCTTTGAAACTTTACTGTGCAGAAGAAAAATGCTGCTCACCGCCCCATTTTTTTTTTTGTAGTTTAACACAATACTTTACTGTATTTGCTTGCCCTTTTGGGGGGGAGGGAGGAGAAAGGGGAGTGTCTCTGCTGCTGCCTGATGGTGTACTTCCAGTTCCAAATGAGGTGTGTGGTTGACTGGTCAGTTTGTAATTCTGGTGTTCGTAACGCTGAGATTCTACTGTAGTACAGTTTTGCTGGCCAATATAAGCTGTGTCCACACTAGGAGTGCTGTAAGCTAAACTAGTAAAAGCACAGATTTTCCAGTATTGCATCTACAGTAGGGGTTTTTGCTAGCACAGCTATGCCAGTCAGAGATCACACCCCTATACCTATACCAGCAAAACGCTCTTGAGTTTAGACCTGTCCAAATATGGGAGGGATTTTTTGGAAAGGAAACTATGGATATCTAAGTGTGCAGGAAGATTATGTGGGGAAGACCACCTCTGGAAGGACAGTAGCAAGGGACTGCTGGCTTCTGTAGAGCAGCAATAAAGAGTGTAGTGCGAAGTTATCAGTCTAAAACCAGGAAACACATACTACATTTGCTCCCATTCTCTGATACATATATTTGGAAAATTACTATCACCACATACAGTGGTACAGAAGTGTAAAAGAAAAAGGTTTGAAGCAATGTAGGCCCCTCTGTCTCCTCTCTCATCCAAGAGCTTGCCTAGACTAAGAATGAGAAAAGAGTGAATGAACATGCAGAGTGAGTGAAAGACAGAAAATGCACCCTCACTTCAGTCAGCCTACTCTTAAATTAGATAGAAAAGTAAAAGAGAAAAGAAAAAGAAAAGAAAGCAACAAAACACAAGCTGTTACTCCTTGAACTTTTATGGGAAGAGGCATTTAGGACCTTGTAGTGGCAAGAACATACTTTAAATGTATTTCATTTTGCTTAAAAAATATAAATTAAATTCCTGTGGAAATCATTTTGAGTTTGTCAGTTTTTAGAATTATTAAAATTTTAAAAAGACATCTCCCTTTTCTGCAGCGCACCTGATACACCAGAGACCCAAATTCAGGAGCTCCATGCAAGTTGTAAGAAATGTTCCTTAGAAAGCACTTTGGGACTCTTCTCCACAATTGAAAGTAATGTAGAGCCCACAAGGTAATGCCATAGTTCTCTATAAATTATGGGGTGAAGGAGGATAAATATTACGTTAATCTACTTAATTTATGTGTAACCCATCAAGCAGTCACTGAAAAGGCCATGAGGGATCTGTCCCTCCTCGTGATTAGTGGGGGGATTCTGGGAAGAGGGAAAATGTTTTGGATAGTAGAACTCATACTCAAATTCTAAATTTCTCTATCCATTCCTAGACACAGTAATACACAAAGTGGGGTCCAGCTCATTTACTCTCTTTATTAGCTCTTTTACTTAGCATTTATCCTTCTGCTGTTAACATTTCGCTTGAACCATTATTTCAAGCAACACTTGCCAAGAAAACAAGATAACACTAACCATAGGAGAGCAGCATCTTGTGGATTACACATACCATGTCATTAGTTCAGAAACATTGTTTCTTACCGAGTGGCGGCTGGAGCATTCCCCCTTTCTTTTCACAGGTCCCAATTGGCTGTATGTCAGAGGAATCCACAAGCCTCCAAAAGTCATTTTTGTTGTCACTTCCATCAAGCCGCAACCTTAATCTGGCACCAGAGATTCCAATTACTGTAGCTATACACACTGAGGTAACATTGCGTGGGTCGTGGGCTTCCAGTTTCATACCAACTTTGAAATCGTTGCTAGGTGGGATCCTAGACTACAGGAGGGGGGAGGGTAGGGGGAAAAAAAGATATTTTTCTTATTTTTGTCTCCCAGATTGAAACAGATTCAGACAGATACCATGAAAAGGGTTGCTAAATATATTGGACAGTTATAAACACACAGCTTCCATTCATCAAGACATATAAAATGCTGTTATACTTATCAGTTTATGAACTTTAGTCAGTGAAAAAGGATGACTACAAATAATTGACAGGCTTGTATTGCTTTCTAGCAACACCTGAGCAAGATGCTTGGCTGCCACGTTGCTGGAGAGCTCGAGTCCAAAGCCTCTCTCCCCCAAACAGCAAAATCCTCAGGTTTTTAAGGAAGTGTTTAATCAGCCAGTTAGTTTCTGTTGGCTTAATGGCTTTGGAATTCTAGACTAGCATGATGACTCTGCCAGCAGCTGATCTGCTGTTTTTCTTTCCTGTAGTGCAGAGTCAGAAGTGAGGAGCAGGTGGAAGTCTCCCTGGTAGTTCAGAGAGCAATTGGTAAAGAGTGGCTCACCAAGACAGGGTGCCTGGGTTAGTCAGAGTGTGGTTGTTGCTGGAGTACTCTTTGGAGACCATGTAGTGCTAGAGCACTAGCAGTTGGAGCACCGACAGCCCTTGCCTAAGAACGGCACAGCTGAGGATCACTGTGCCATGGCACTGCCGGACTCCACAAGAGGGCAATGATTATATTGATAATGGTGAAACATATTACAATGATTACCTTCTGGCAAAAGAATTACAAGTAATTGTACCCATGATGTTTCAAAAAGGCATTGTGAATTAAACAAAATTTCAATAAAGCCACTTTTAAGAACTAGGGTGGCAACCGCTGTGGAGGCTTGGTATTACTTCTATATCAACATGACGAATTCTCAGTAGTCAGAAGAACAAACATAGATGAGGAGACCAAGGGTCATTCGGTGAAAGTGAGAATACAAGAGGGAAAGAACAATGAAAATTGCCATTAGATCCAGACTACCTACCTGATGTGATATAGTAGCTGAAGAAATATTAAGATTTATGGCATGAGGTACGCTACATTCATAACAAAAAGTAACAGATAATTATGTGTTATTTGTATTACAGTAGTACCTACAGCAGTGGTTCTCAACCTTTCCAGATTACTGTACCCCTTTCAGGAGTCTGATTTGTCTTGTGTATCCCCAAGTTACACCTCACTTAAAAATTACTTGATTACAAAATCAGACATAAAAATACAGAAGTGTCACAGCACGCGGTTACTGAAAAATTGCGTATTGTCTCATTTTTACCCTATATTTATAAATCAACTGGAATGTAAATATTGCACTTACATTTCCGTATATAGTATATAGAGCAGTATAAACAAGTCATCGGTATGAAATTTTAATTTGTACTGACTTCACTAGTGCTTTTTATGTAGACTTCTGTACAACTAGGCGAATAGCTAGATGAGTTGATGTACCCCCTAGAAGACCTCTGCGTGCCCCTGGGGGTGCACGTACCTCTGGTTGAGTACCACTGGCCTAGAGAACTCAAGCAAAATCAGGTCACCACTGTGCTAGGCACTGTATAAACACAAAGTAAGAGACAATCCCGCCCCTAAAGAGCTTACATCTAGATAAATAAGATAAAGGGCAGAAGAAAGGAAATATCCCCATTTTACAGATGGGAAATGAAAAGAGAGAGAGAGAAAAAGTGATTTACCCAAGGTCACATAGGAAGTCTGTGGTAATGTTGAGAACTGAACCTAGATGTACTAGGTCCCAGTTCAGTGACTTCCTCTCATAGAGTTGAACACACACACAGAGGAAGTGTCAGCCACTGGATGCAAAGATGTAAGCACGCATCAGTTTTTGGACTTAAGACATCTGTATCATCACTTCGCCCGTTCTGGTAATTGGTCTTTGATACTGGCTCAGTGTTTAGCATACCGTAAATTAGGAAGAAGAGAGGAGAGGAAGATCCTTTAAGAAATTTCTGTACCAGGAAGGCAGGGATGATTGATGCATGACAACGGCACAGCACTAAACAGGATTTATTAACCTAGTAGCGGTCCATTGAAGATCAGGATCAATCAGGTCCAAAGCTGTGAGGGAGAGGGAAGACCAGAGAAATTGTATTCACCCCACACAAAATATGTATCCATTTAAAATATCTATCTATTTAAAATGGACAGGTGTCAGTCAATGGTAGGAACTGTGTCTGTCCAGCCTGACAGGAAAAGTGTGATGCAAGACTTACTAGGATAACAAATGGGGGTTGCATTTCCTGCCCCCTTTGCCTTTCTGAAATTTTAAAAATATTGAAATCTTGGGTTCTTGCTGTGAGTGCAGAAGCACTGTTTGAGACAGACACCAGATCAACAGCAGGAGCCCTGAAGGAGCCATCAGACTCTGCACAATAAAAAGACAAGAGATATTCAGTATGTGGAGCCTAGCATCTGTCAATGTAGCATTCAGACAGCAGGCTGTCTGAGAGGAGAGCCCAGGCATATTAAATTTAAAGGGCAATTCAATGTCAGGATATTGCTTGTCAAGCTGTTATTCTCCACAACTGTGAAAGTCAATTTAAATTGAAAAGTTAGTGGTTGTTTTTTAAAGAGAAATTGGTTTAAATTGCAATACTTGGGGGGGGGGGATATTAAAAGATATCATACATAATATTTATTTTTGGCGTTATGGTAGCATATGAAGCCAACTGAGATCAGGCCTCCATTGCTCTATGTGCTGCACAAACAGATGGTAAGAGATAGTCCCTGCCCCAAACAGGTTTCAGTCTAAACAGACAGGACAAAGAGTGAGAGAAAGGGATGCAGATTTCCGATAGTTAGAGAATTTAAATAATTATAGAAAATAATGATTCTAAAATAATTGTAACCATTGAGTCTAAGGAGCACTGGCTTACAAATACCTTTATCTTGATTTAAAACCTATTTTATTGGTTTCTCACTTATTTGTGCATTTTGAAGTTAATTAAGTATCTTGTTGGCCTGTGCATTAGAAAATTATTTGACTGGCCACCAGGGTTTACTATTAGCCCCTTCCCTTGCATTACGCAAAGTGATGACACATTCACAGGCTTTCTATTCTTTTGTATATTTAATTGCAAAAAAACGTAGTTAATGCAGAGCTGAGGTTGTTTGGTGGTATGTCATCCCCTTGCAGAACACTGAGTTGAGCAAAACTCAAACTTCTGAAACCCAGGAAACAGAATTAAGATTGCCCATGCACCCATATCTTTGCCCTCTTTCAGCACTGCCCCAATATGCCCCATTAACATACATACCTTTACTCTGTGAACCCCACAGTTGCTGAAATATACAAACTCGTCACCTCCTTTTGCAACCCATTCCCTCTCATCCAGAGGATTCCATCTAACACTATTAAAGGACAAAAAGGTGTGTGGGGGGGAAGCGGGCGCAGGTGAAGACAGTTGCCCACATCACCTTCCCTCTGTTCCCCAGGAGCTGGCAGTAAACAATAGGAATAATTTGGATACACTTCAGAGGCAGTCAGTGTGTTTGGTGTACCTACATTGAATGGTGGAGGCAGTAGTTGGGCCTGCTTCATAAAGGTGTCTCTCTGATATGAGGACATGTGTGGACTACTTTGAGGTGCGTGACAGAGCTGTGATTACCATATGAGGAGATCTGTGTTTTTCACTCTCTCATGTGTGTGAGGAAAGGGAATTGGTGCATGTGTACCTTCAGAATCCAGTACGCATCATTTCTATGCAGAATATTGTATGTTATATAGTTAGCAGGGCACAGGGCTTTTATTACAAAGGCTATTGTCAGTGGTAATGTGGAATATAAGAGGATTCTAATGCTTTAATGATGGGTACGTGAAAGTGTAGATTGAGATGGTATCCTGTGGGTAAGGGTAAAGGAGCTGTTAAAGGCTGTGAAGTAGTTCTCACATTGTACATGTGTGGTACTCTTTCTGGGGAATTGGCTCAAAGTGTGAGTGTATGCTAGGATCTGGCACCTCCTGAATCTTATAGTGCCAAGGGCCAGCGTGAATATGTGTGTACTGGGGCATTGCTCAAAGATGGTAGAGGAAAGGGGTCATGGGCTACCTTCCCCCCTGCTTTTTGTCCTTTAATAGCATAACATACTCTTCAAGTGGATGACAACTTTAAATCTGTGTTAACGGTGTTTTTTGCCACTGAATTACCTGTTCATAAAAACTAGGAAAAGATATGTTGTTGGTAGGAGTAAGTAGTAATTAAGGCAGTTGTACTTATCATTTCCTGCAATTTGCATACTGAGCTACTCAACACTCGCCTCCCCACCCTCCCCTTTCATAGATTCATAGACTCTAGGACTGGAAGGGACCTCGAGAGGTCATCGAGTCCAGTCCCCTGCCCTCATGGCAGGACCAAATACTGTCTAGACCATCCCTGATAGACATTTATCTAACCTACTCTTAAGTATCTCCAGAGATGGAGATTCCAAAACCTCCCTAGGCAATTTATTCCAATGTTTAACCACCCTGACAGTTAGGAACTTTTTCCTAATGTCCAACCTAAACCTCCCTTGCTGCAGATTAATCCCATTGCTTCTTGTTCTAATTCTTAGAGGCTAAGATGAACAAGTTTTCTCCCACCTCCTTATGACACCCTTTTAGATACCTGAAAACTGCTATCATGTCCCCTCTCAGTCTTCTCTTTTCCAAACTAAATAAACCCAATTCTTTCAGCCTTCCTTCATAGGTCATGTTCTCTAGACTTTTAATCATTCTTGTTGCTCGTCTCTGGACCCTCTCCAATTTCTCCACATCTTTCTTGAAATGCGGTGCCCAGAACTGGACACAATACTCCAGCTGAGGCCTAACCAGCGCAGAGTAGAGCGGAAGAATGACTTCTCGTGTCTTGCTCACAACACACCTGTTAATGCATCCCAGAATCACGTTTGCTTTTTTTGCAACAGCATCACACTGTTGACTCATATTTAGCTTGTGGTCCACTATAACCCCTAGATCCCTTTCTGCCATACTCCTTCCTAGACAGTCTCTTCCCA